CCAGTCGCCAGTCGCGAGGCCCGCCGGAGTGTGGCCTGGGTCTGGCTGGCCAGTCGGCTGGCACGGCGGTGCCCCTGCTTCCCGTCCCGCAGAGAGGCCCTGGCGAGCTGTGGGTGGGCAGTGGTGGAGAGAGAGGAGAGGGCAGAGTGAGTCCTTTGGGTAAAGAGCTCTTGCGGTGGGGTAGGGATGTAGCTCAGCAGCACAGCACCTGCCTGGCAAGTGCAAGGCCCTGAGTTCAATTCCTGGTAGACCCCCGCCACAAATAGAGCTCTTGCGGTACTTCATACACCAGAGCATGCGTTTGTTTATGCATTCATCCATTCGTTTATACATCAACGAGCAGCTTCTGGTTGCAGGTGTGAGTCTTGGTTCTGACTTAATCGTTTTGTTTTGGAGGGCAGTGTCTTGATAATGGAGTTCAGGCTGACCTAGAGCTCACTATGTAGCAAGGCTGGCCTCAAACTTATAGCGATCCTCCTGCCTCAGCCTCCCAAGTGCTGGGATCACAGTCACGTGCCACCATGCTCAGCTGGAACTTAATTCTGAGCCTGGTTGGGCCTCAGGGCCCTCTCCGTGTCATGGGAACTGCAGCGACACCTGTTTTCACGAGGAACCAACAAGGTCGCCCGTGTGAAGGTGGAAGCCCAGGGCAGGGGACACACCAGCCTTTGGGAAGTGTGGAAGACAGGTCTGCCTGGCAGTGTCTGCCCCACAGAAGGGCGGCCTTATCTGTCCCTGCCACTGGCACAGGAGGCAGGGAAGCTGTGTGTGTGTGTAACTGTAGCCCTGACCTTGGCATTGTCCTTGGCCAACAGCTCTGCTTCTCTGCTCTTCTTCCTGGCGCTGGAGGAGAGTGGTGCTGCATTTCCCAGCACCCTCTCTGCCTGTTTGGTCTTCTTCCTTGTGTCCTCCAGGAGCCGGTCCCTGACTGCACCTGCCTTCCTCTGCAGCTCAGCTTGGTCCTTGGGCCCTGGAAACCGCAGCTTCATTCCTGCAAAGTGGCCGAGGCGGTCACAGAAGGGCTTCACACCTGGACAGCCCACCAGGTGGTCACCGGCAGGGGCCTGGCCGGCCCCAGGCCCTGGGCAGCGGGAATGAGGTCCGAGACTCCTGAGACTGCGTGGGACCCTCCCAGGCTTACCCGAAAGGAACCTAAAGGAGCAAGGCTCACTGCTCTGGGGATTTAAAGATGCACGTGACATCCTGGTGCCCACTTAAGTCAGGAAATCACAGGTAGCCTGAACCAGGGGCAGAGATGGGGCCCACAGCAGAGGCACATGCTGTTCAGCTATGGGGGGGGGTCTTGTTTGTTTTGCTTTGCTTTTGCATTACTAGGCCTGGACCCCCAGGCTTTGCACTGAGCTACATCCTAGTACTTCATTTTGTATTTTGACACAGGATCTTGCTAAATTGCTAAGTTGCCCAGGCTGGAACATGTGATCCTCCTGCTTCAGCCTCCCAGAGTGCTGGGATGACGGGTGTGCGCCACTATATCCAGCGTCAGCTCTATATTTTTATGCAACACGTATTTCTGACGGGGCTTTGAGGCACTGTATAGTAACAGATGTGCCAAGAGATTACCATGGTGGGAATACCCAGGGCTGTAAGTAGCTGGTGGGAATGTGGGAGGAAAGAGGAGGGATGAGTAGCATCAGAAAATTCAGGTAATAACACTGCACAAATCAAAGGCTCTGTGTATTTACCTCTGAGCTCCCAAGCAGCCAAACAAAAAAGGATATGTCAGAATTTGCATGAATTGTGTCTAATAAGAAGTGATTTTACTTTTCATAAAGAAAGACACACTTCTCCATTCTTTTTTTTGAGACAGGGTCTTGCTGTGTAGCCGAGGCTGTACTTGAACTCATGGAGATCTTCCTGCCTCAGCCTCCCAAGTACTGGGATTATAGCCATGTACCACCATACCTGGCTAAGGGTGTTTAATATTGCACTGTGTAAGGCCTTAAGAAAGTGCACCTATTATTTGAAAAAAAAAAAGAAAGTGCGCCTGCTGAAGCATTTCCTAAGCTTCTTTCCTCTCCTCGGCACAGCCTGTCAGGGCTCCGAGTCCTGGGCCACATCCTGGACCAGCTGGCACTGAGTCCAGTCTGTGCATGCAGCTAGGAGCTCATATCTGTGTGAATTCTGCAGAGGCCAGGAAGGCAGATTTGCACTTAGTCTGCGCAAAGCTTTCGGAACCAGAGAGCAGTGAGAGGCGACACTGTAAGGCACTAGAGGCCAGCTGGACTGGAAGCAGATGGTGTCAAGACCTGCATGGTCCTAGTGTCTGAACTCAGCCTACTCCACCCTGGTGTCTGATTTAGGTCCTTAAATACAGCCCTAGACACGTGGGCACCAGCAGGTGGCCAGGACTTCGGGCCACCAAGGAACCTGGAGATGGGGTGTCGGGTCCAGGGCTGGAGCCATATGGGGAGGGCAGGTGTGGGACCCAGGCTGTGGCCAGCAGAGGTGTGACCTCTGACCCTGAAGGTCACCTGGGCTCAAGGGTATGACCTCTGACCCCGAGGGTCACCTGGGCTCAGGGCATGACCTCTGACCTCTGACCCAGAGGGTCACATAGGCTCAGGCGGTGCTCCTGCCTTTTCTAACTCATCAGGACAGGGAAGGGTGGCTCTCTGGGGCCCAGGCGGAGGGCCTCACAGAAGCCCATTAGGCAGCAGGGTGAGGAGGTATGGAAGGGGGACCCTGGCTGGTTTCTGTCCCCACTCAGATCTGGGGATGATCAGCAACGCTTTCCTCAGTCTGCCCATCTGCGAGCTGGGAGATCTCTGCCATGTTTTCCTGATGCTCCAAAGAGGCCTGGCTGGATGTCACCCCACACCCCCTTCCAAAGAAACTTGGTCCCCTCCTAGGGGCCCCAGCTGCACCTGGCCAGGGGCAGCAGAATTTGCACCAGGTACCTGACCCTGCCAGAATGGACTGGACCAGAAGTGGACGGCCTGCGGCATCCGATTCCCTCCCATCTGAGGGCTCTGTGTGCGGTCAGGCGGGACGGCCACGTGGCCTGGTGCCAGAGAGGGGTGGGACAGAGACCCAGGAGCCGGGGACACGGGGCAGCCCTGGCTTGTGCCCACAGGACGGGCCCGGCAGGGTGGGCGGCTGCCAGGCATGGAGTGACCCAGAACCCGAGGACAGAAGGGCGCATGTACCTTCCAGGTCAGCCAGCAGGGCCTTGGCTCCCATCACGGTCACCGTGGCAGCCTGGACAGATGAGGAAGCCTGGGCCAGCGCAGATGTGGCCTCCTGGAATAGCTGGAGGGAAGAGGAGAGAGGCTGGGCAGCTGCTGGGAGCGGGGTCGCAGGCATCACACCCACACCGACGGCACCCACGTGTCACAGGGCCGACGCTGACACGCACAGCTCACCGGCGCACCAGGGCCGTCTGACCACACAGGTTGCACCCCAAGCCCCGGAAGGCCTGTCCCACAGTGGCTGTAAGACTAGACTGTGCCTGCACGGAGCTGTCCCCACCCCCCGTAGCCATCACTTCGGGCCTGCGTCCCCATCCAACGCCTGCATTGTGGACTGAACTCCCAGCTGAGGGGAAGCCGTCCCAGGGAGCCGGGAGTTCTGTGCTGACTGTCACTCTTGTACGTCCAAAAGTGTTCTCAAGCAACGTTTTTTCTGAAGAATTATCTTAGAGAGGCCTTCTGTAGTTCCACAGTGTGGCAACTGCTGCCTGAGTGAAATCACGCCCTGTGATTTCCCGAATTCCTGCTGTCTTAGCGCCATCTCCCCTCCCAGAGGCCAAGGCCAGGCTGCGGGGCTCAGCACAGAGCCTCAGGGGCTGCTCACAGCAGCTGCTCTCTGAACAGCTGGCACTGGAACTAAGGATGCAGGAAGGAAGCTAAGTGGGCACAGCAGCACCCGCCTGTCATCCCAGCACTCTGGGAGGCTGAGGCAGGAGGATCACAAGTTCGACCAGCCTGGGCAATTTAACTCGGCTGCTGCAAAATGAAAGTAAAAAGGCTGGGGATGTAGCTCAGTATGAAGCCTCTCAGTTCAGACCCCCAGATCTGCAGGGGAAAAACCCAAACCTATCCCAGCTGAACTGACACGGAGGGCAGCGGCAGGCAGATAGGACCCCTGTGTCTGCCTGTCTGCCGGGCTCCTCTCACCCCTACTCCAGGCGCTGACCTGCGCGGGGTGCTCCATTCTCTGCAGCGCCGCTCGGGCGGAGGCCTGGAGGGCCCCAGCAGCCTCGGTGGCCGTGTGCCCTCTCAACGCCACCTTCTGCTCCAGGGCCCGTGCTCTGGAGTCCAGATTCCTGGGCTGGGGCTGCGGAGGCCGTGAGGAGCCTGGGGTCAGGTGAACGGGAGGAGCACGGGGCCAGGCGGTGTCCCGAGGGCCTTCTCTGAGAGCGTGTGTGCAGGTGTGCGTGGTGGGCGTGCATGGGAGTGTGTGCAGGTGTGTGAACGCGGGCACAGAAACTGGGGCCTGCAGCACACTAAGCACACTCCGGCCAGGGCAGCGCCTCTCACAGCTCTGTGTGCGGGGGCCCCGGGACCTCCTGCAGACCGCCGGACCTGCTGTGTCCCCAGGATGGGAGTGGACGCGGGCACCAGGGCGCCACCGAATCCCTCCTGCCCCCAGGAAGTGGCCCTAGAGCAACCCAGTGAGGCCCCTGTGACAGACGGAGTCACCGCGGCCCAGGGAGGGGAAGTCGGGGTCACGGAGCCGCAGGGGTGCAGCAGGAGCTTCCTCCCACGTCCACCCGGTGTCCTCACGGAGGTCACCAGAGTAGGGAAAAAGCCACAGCACGGGTAATGACTGTCGTACTCAGCAACGTAGCCCAGCACAGCGCCGGACTGCAGGGGCTCTGGCTTTAACCCACTGCCCCACAGCTGGTGCCTGGCCACCCCCAGCCCCCACCCCAGCAGGATTCCGCAGACACCGACTGACCAGGGCTGCAGGGGTGGCCGGCAAGGTCAGGCGCGGGGCCGCATCAGCAACGCCGCGCTGCATGGAGGCCAGCAGCCTCCTGGCTTTGGGAAACTCCTGTGACAAAGCCGTGCCCAGCGCCTTCAGGGCCACCTGCACCTCTTGGTACCTGGGAGGAAACAGGAGCCGCGCTGGCCACAGAGCAGGGCAGAGCCCCTTCCTTGCCGCTTCCCGGGATCCCCGGTGGGAGCCCCCAGTTTGCAAAGGCCTCTCAGCCTCCCGGGCAGCCACCCTGGGCCACCACCTGACTCCCTCCCTCGGTCCCCCCACTCTTCGGCTCCTCTGGCCCAGCCATACGCAGGAAGATGCCCCGTGCTGGGCAGGCAGAGGCCCAGGCCCTGATCCTGGCTCGTCATGGCGAGGATCCTGGCGGGGACCCTGGGCGTGGGTGTGGCCCTCTCCTCCCGCGAGGGGAGACCCAGCTGCTGGCCTGCTATGCGGCCCTCGGTCCTCGTGGTCTCCGCTCGGTCATCACCCAGGGATCAGGGGCTTCCTCTCTGACTTCTGAGCCTCTGCTCCCCGCTCCTGCCCCACCTTGGTGGTGCAGCCCCCACTCCCTTCCCTCCTGTGCCCTTCCGGAAGTGGGTGCCCCTGTCTCCGAGGTCACATGACGCCCCAGCCACATCACTTGGCTCAGGGCCATGAACCCGAGCCAATGAGTCTCTCATCTCGGAACTAGGGGCTCAGGGAGATGTCAGGGATCTCAGTGGCCCTTAAACTGACGTGGGTGGAGCACAGACGCTGAGCTGCCCGGGCTGCAGAGGCACAGTGGGAAGCTGGTGCCTGGGCCATGACAGGAGGACTTGGGGCCACTGTGGAGGACGGAGATCCACAGCCAGTTCCAGACCCAGGGCCCCGACACCCTGGTCATGCGGCTTGGGAGCCCCATTCAGAGACAGCAGCCTCTGGGGGGCGCCCACGGGCTCCTGGAAACACCCCACATTGGGCAGTCTCACCTGTCCTCCAGGTCCCGCTGGGCCTCCAGGGCCGCCCTCCCGTCCACCAGGCCCCGCAGGAGCGCATAGCTGGCGTTGGAGGCGAGTATGGCGCGATGCACGGCGGCTTCGATCTTGGCAGCGGTGTCCCTGTGGCTGTGTGGTCAGAGCCCGGCCATCAGCGAGGGCTCCCATGGAGGGCTGGGCCTGAGCTCACTCTCTGGCCTTCTGCCTGTCTGCCTGCTGCAGCAGGGACTGCAGCAAGGTGCCACACAACCTGTCCCTGTTGCCCACCAGTGACACCTGTGGCCCTTTTGTTACACATTAAAGCATCTCGGTTTTGGCGGTAAATTATGCGGTCACCCTAACAGAGCGGACACAGAAGGGAGTGGCCAAGACAGCTGGGGGTGGGGGCCTGCCATTATCATTTTCAGGCCGTGTGTCCTTAAGCAAGTTATCTGACTTCTCTGAATCCGTTTCTAGAAAATGAATCTAAGGTCCCTATGGCTAAGGAGAAAACTGCCACCGATCCTGTGCTTTCAGCACCCTAAGATGTTTATGGGAGGCAGTGGGTTAAAGAGAGTCCAATGTCTACTAGGACTAGATGAGCGGTATGTGGTAGAACTGAACACTGGAATATTACACAGCCACGAAAAGGAAATTGGTAAGAGAGAGAAAGCAGATTATTGGTGGCCAGCACCTGGACAGGCTGAAGAGAAGTGAGACGTGATTTTACAAAAAGTTTACAAGGTTAGTTCTGGACATGATAAATATTCTAAAACGTTCATGGTTGTGAATTCTGAATATATGGAAACCACTGATTTGTATAGTGTGTGAATTATATCTCAAAACTTATTTTAAAAAAGCCATCAGATGTCCAGACGTTTTCAGTGGTGCAAGCTTGTCCCCAGCACCTCTGCCCATGTCCCCCCGTGACCTTTCCTTCTCATGGTGACAAGGGCTTCTCTGGACTCACCCGGGCCCAGCTCCTGGGTGGGAGCATCTGGGGAGCTGACCCTGGAGCCCCAGAGAAGGCCTGGCCCTGCTGATTGTCAGGGTGACCTCATCCCACCCCTGGGCCGTGGGGCTCACTCACCCCCTGGCAAGGGCACGGGCCTCTGTGGCCAGATGGCTCCAGTTGGAGGGTTGTCCGGGCCCGTCCTGGGGAGTCACCTTCAGAGAAGAGGAGACACTGAGGCTTGGCCTGGAAGGGCAAGAGCCACATCCAGCTCAGTGATGTGGCTGAAGCTGACGTGCTGCTAAATGTCTGTTTTTGTTTTGGTACTGGGGCTGGAACTCAGGACCTTGCGCTTGCAAGGCAGGCAGTGCCACCACTGAGCTAAATCCCTGGCCCTGTTTTTTTTTTTTTTTTTTTAATGGGGTCTTGCTATATAGTCCAAGCTGGCCTCACATTGGTGGCCATCCTCCTGCCTCAGCCTCCCCAGTACTAGGATTACAGGCGTGCGCCACCATGCCCAGCTAGTGCTGGTAATTTTGTAAATGCACAAAGATGGTCAAAGCGTCCCAAACACAGAAATACTGACAATGTCGCCACCCGCCACCTCCTGCACCTTCACAGTGCGCTGAAGTGACAAAGGGGCGCCCAGCCCGGGTCTCCAGGTCAGGGCCCGGCTCTGCGGGGGAGGGGTCCCCGGGTACCAGCGATGTGAGGACGGCGGCCGCG